TAATGGTTTTAAATGCTGTAGGAGAGCAGAAAGAGAGTTACACCACTCCTGGCAAATTCATGCAGCAAGGCTAAGAGAAGTACTATTGTATTTCCTGAATGCTCATGATAACCAGCAGGCCAGCATGGAAACCCTCCACCCTGCTTGGTGTGGGGTTATTCACTGGAGAGGAAAGATGGGAAATTTGGCCTCGAGGGTGGCATTCCCCCTATGACAACCCAGCACCTGCACTCCCCATCCACAGCGCCAGCTCCACAGCGCAGCCCTCCTCCAAAGCAAACAAAGGTGGATCTGAATAAACTGCCTCCCCCAAAGGCCACTTTATGGTGCCCTTTGAGCACTGGTTTCCCTATTTAATGTTTGCGCTTGCAGATCACTACATACACACGCAGTGTCTATTATAGCCCCCATCGCACTCGGGGTAAATGATTAACACTGCAGATTCCACCTTGCCACTCACCTTAGCCCTTCTGCTCTCGCGCCCGGGGAGAAGGTTCCTTCCCCATCATCATTTCCCTGCTCCGTATGGACGTACGACTTCAAGGCGCTTAAGCACAGCTCTGCGGCGAGATGTTACAGCGGGCTCCTGTGGCTAAATGCCTGTCATTTCCATTCATTTCATGAGCCAGAGCCATTCATTTTTATTGCGAGCAGATGGGAAGAATGACACCAACACCTGAAATAACAGTAACCTCAGGTTCCTGCTCTGCTTCCCGCTGTATCTCCCGCTATTCCACAGAGGAGGGCCCTAGCCCCATAGCAGGGTCTAATACAAGCTCAGGTGAGAAGGGACAGAAGTTTCCACCTGCTTTTAAGCCACTTTGCTTGATTTGGAAGAAAAAAAAAGGTGCCCTTGCTTTTTCTTTCTATTCATCCTTTCCCCCAAATGCATTTTTATGTTTTATCTGTTACTGAGATGCTTTTGTAGGCACAAGGCAACTAGTCTTTTCACCCTAATCAAGGCAGACTCTACTACTTTAATTAGAAATTTGCTGCTTTCTCTTGTTCTTTCTTCTGGATCACCAAGAACCATAAATAGCATCCTGGTAACATGGTTAGAGACTTATTTAGGAGAAAGATTCAGCACTGATACTTTGCAACAGCTGAGAAATTGGCCCTTCAGGCACCTCAGACCAATTTTCAAACCCCTCAATAGTCTAGATTTGCTCCTGGCCACATTTAATGGTGTTATGGAAATGCAGGTTATAACATCTTTCCTTAGATTCCAATACTAATGCATTTCCTAGTGACATTATAAAAGGCTTGCACGAACACACAGGCAACTGAAATGCTAACAGTCCCAGTGATATTAGAACACTGTGGATAAAGCAGATTTTTGCTAAGTTTGAGTATACAAAGAGGCTGCTGCTTTCAACACACACAGTATTAGGGCATGTTAACTTGGTGAAATCACTCTTGGGCAGAAGCTGCACTAAAATCTGGGTTTTCTAATAAGTCAGCAGGACAAAAGCTCTTTAGCAAGAGCCTTTTTGTATGTACTATTTCTAGCAGACCTTCTGCTGGAGGAGGAGCTTCCTTGGAATAAAAGCCTTTTGCAGAAGGTGTTAGTCCTCATTAGTTTTGAGGCAATTCAATGTAAATTTGTGCTGGACAAGAGAGGTTGCTGGAGACCTCACCTCCTTCCAAGGAGCTGCACAAAGGCTCCTCCAAGAAAGCCCCTCTGGTGGGATGAAAGGAATAATGTTGTTTGCCATCTTCTCCTGTGCATACAATGGCAAGATTGAATATTCAGCTTGGATTTAGCTGCTGCAGAGGTAAATAGCTTGGACACTGCAGCAGCCCATTGACTTAGAAAGCAACACAGGCCATTTTCCCCACTAGCAGGTAACCAACTGATTAATAAAAGCATGAAAAGGAGCAGAGAGCCAGGGGAGCAGGCCCTGGGGAGCAGAGACCCAGCAGGTCTAGGCAGCACAAGGGAGCTCTCGCTGGAAGCGAGGAGCGTGTGGCTGATGTTAAGGTGAAACACAAAGTATAGAAAATATTCAGGCTGCCCTGAGACCCCAAGCTAGCTATCAACAGGATGAAAAAAGAGAGAAATGGCACTAGATGTGCTTTTGCACCATAAATAATACATAAATAATATATCAATAATCTAAAAATCTAAACAACAAACCACCCCCAAAGCCATCCAAAACTAGCTAGAGGAAACAGAACCCACTTTGGGTCACATACCTGGCTCATAATTGCACATCCACCAGGTCCCAGAAAAGGCATTTTGGAATCAGGCATCACCCTACAATGACAAATGCACAAACTTGCTAAACGCTAGGAGCAAGGAGGGAAGCTGCTGTGCACCCATCCTCTTATAGCATCCTGGGCAAGTGCCTCAGCCAGCCAAAATCACCCTGATCGCAGCCAGCTGTGCACACCTGCACCTGGGGAGGATGAGCTTGTCCTTATCCCTACAGCCTGAGCAGGGGAAGAGCAAGTGGAGTTAAATATATTGACTAGCTGAGCAATATTGCAGGGAGAGCCTGGCTTGAAGCCCTATTGCCACACAGGTCGTGCTCGTGGCTTCTGTGCACAGAGCAGAAAACTAAATGTCTCTGTGGTCTGCTGCAAAAGTGACACCCCATTAGAGAGTCTGGGGCTCTCAGTACAAGTCAAACCACAACTTCCTTTATTTTTTTTCTTTCCCATGGAGAAATAAAAAAGAAGCATTTTTTTTTCATTTTTATTCTTGGAAAACAACAATGTGTTAGCAAAGATTTTATTGTGCTATTAATATGCCCATAAACAAGAACAACATGAGTTTATAGGCTCAAGTGCTTCATTACTCAGTTGCTGACTTGGTAAAAATCACTGTGGCATCAGTATAAAGTGCAGCGTGGAGGAGATCATTGCAGTCCTGTTGTAAAATCATCTGGGCAGGTGACCTTTGATCAAAGGCAATTGATAGCTCTGAAGCAGCTGTGCAACAACAGTAAAGATAATAGTTGTCCACAGGCCACCCGAGCCACGGGAGAGCAAATAGACCCAGGCTGGGGTGAAGCAGTGGGAGGGTTTGGAGGAGAAAAACTGAAATCTGCCTCTGAAATGCATGCGTGGAAGATGCTGTAAGTGCAGGAGCAAGGAGGAGGAACTACCCCCATTGCGACTGCGTTGCTCCTTGTCACTCTGCCTCCATCCGCCAGCCACCAAGGCAGCCCGGTGCGCTCGGCGCGCGCTCAACACTTACCAACAGGCCATAAATAAAGCGGCTGGAGCCGCTGGTGTCAACATCTCGGCGTTGTTTGGGTCTCCTTGCTTGCCGCCCCGCCTGGGGTCAGGCCACGGGAGAGCGCGGAGCCCTCGCCGGGGCTGTGCGTGCCCCGGTGGTGTGAAGCTCACGGGACGGGACGAGGCTGGCACTGCTGCGTTATCTGCCCTGCGCCGGAGAGCGGCAGGCGAAAGCGTGGAAAAACAAACGGCGGTGACGCCAAGTCCTGCAGCGATCCCAGCGCAAACAGGCTCTGCCGCCGGGAGCAGCGCGCGGGCGGCGGGCCCGGCGGTTTGGGGACCCGCGAGCTCAGGGGTGGCAGCAAAATCCCTCCAAAGGTACCACCTTTGCAAAAGGAGGGCTTGGACCGCTGGCCACACCAATGATGGGGAGCAGTGTGACCATCACCACGTGTGCCTCCACGGGGAGCACATCTGTGCACCCCGAGCATCCCTTTTCCCTCCTCCAAGGAGCCGCAGTGGGAACACGCTGGCCTCCGCCTCGGATGAGCCGCGACACGAGGCCGGACTTCACTCTCCCCACTCATCCCCAGGCTGTTGTTTATAATAAAAATCAAGCGATCCATCTCTCCTGACAAGAGGAAGAGTCGCTCCAGGAAGCCCTGGACAGGTTGACGTCTATATTAAGGAGCTATTACTTGACAGCTTCCTGGCTGTAAATAGCCGCTGAGCTCGGATGGAGTTTTATTTAGAAATAGCAAATAGAGCGGGGCCCCGAAGTAACTCCCTGACCTGCATTTCCCACCCCGCTCTGTGCGCTCCTCTCCTTGTCCTGGCTCCATGCACAGCCTGCGCCAGCCCCATACAAACCCGCTCCAATGCACAAGCCCAAGGAAAGGCAGGACAACCTTCAACATGTCCCATATTGCAGGAGAAACCCGGCACGGTGGCTTTTGCAAGAACTGTCGTGGTCGCTTTTCCAAGGAAACCACCTCTCGTGAGCATCCTTTGAAAAAATACTGAGGAGCTCATGAGCTGAAAAGCTGGGCACCCTCCACTTGAAACATCTCCCAAATAGGAGAAAATCCAATCTCAAATTCCCTTTTTTTCCTCCAGCTTCTCAGGTCTCTCAACTAGTCCCTTAACTTGAGTGACTTAGGACAATCTAGTGCTTGGAGCTGGCAGTATTGAAAGCAATCAGGAAATAGCAAAGAAAACTGTATTCTTTTATTAGTGGGAGCTTTTCACCATTTTTTTTTGTCCCGCAGTTAGACTAAAATAATAATAATAATAATAATAATAAATCTTCGTTTAGAGCTGGAATGGGAAGAGCAGCGTGTTTATTTGACGTGTGGCTCGCCAGCCCGGCAGCTGAGTGCTGAGCGCTTTGGAAGCGAGCGCTCTATCGAGATGATTGTTTTTAATATAAAACAGTAAATGTTTAAAAACAACAGCTTTTTTTTTCTTCTTCTTTTTTTTTTCCTGCTGTGGCCAATAAAACATAAAGGAGGCCACACAGTTTACATTTTAATAAAATTAAGTTATTTGATGCTGCGTTACTACAGTCTTTATTGGAAAGTGGAATAAATTGCACACAGAGGAGTCATAGGAGGGAGAAATCACCGCGAAAATAAACATAAGATTCGGGGATGCATTTATTTCTTGGTTTCATCTCCGGAGGACGGAGGCTTTCCTGGCGAAAGCAGAAGCGTCCCCAGCTCTCCTGCTCCAGGGAGGCCGCTCCGGGTCCTGCTGGATGAGGCAAAGCTTCCTACCGGGAAGCTGGTGCCGAGCTCGGTGTTCCCGGCCGGCGTTTTTCACCCGCATCCTCTGCGAGAAATCTGTCCTTCCGCGGTGGCGCGTCCCTCGGCGCCGCTCCGCAGGCTCCCGCGCTCCGAGGCGAGGGCCAGCGCACACCAGGAGTCCTGCCGGAGCGGGACGCTGAGCCCCGCGGGCTGCGCGGCGCTGCCGCCCGGGAAGCCGTAATCCTCCGCCTCGAACTTGAAGTCGCCGGCGGCCAGCGTGTCCTCCGGCTGCCCGGGCGCCTGTGGGGTGATGGAGGAGAAGGTGACCGGGGAGCCATGGACACTTCCCTTGAGGTCGGATAGTTCCCAGAGCCTCCACTCCAAGTGGCCGGAATTCATAGTACTTTTCTTGCCTTTTTAGCCAGGATTCATGGGGTATAAGGCCATTGCTGCTAGGCAAAGGGATATGATCACCCTCATCACCATGTTAAGGTAGGAATGTGGCAGATGGTGAATGTGATGGGTTGGCCCTTGCACTAATTCTGCACCCTTGGAGCATCCTCAGAGGACACAGCATCACCTGGCCGGGGAGTGCGAGGAGCGTCCCAGTGCCTCTCTCCAACTATTCATTGTCTGACCGTGTCCAGTTCAGAGGTCTCTAAGCACATGTGTGTTTTTAAGAGCACTGCACAAATCAGATCTACCAATTTTAGCCAAAAAACTCTCTCCCATAAAGTCCAGATGGCCCCAAGCCAAACATTCTGGCTTTTGAGCGGAACTTCGCTTCCATACAGGCATGGAGGGCTTGATGAGACCCAACATAAAGATATTGTAGGGCTGCAATGTTTTGATTGATGGGTTGATTTAGAGGCATTGTTTGTCCACTGCCAAGAGAAAGCAGCAACCCTTCCAAACAAATCAGTGAGGCTGAAGTACGCCCAGGCATCTCCAGGGAGCATTGCAGCTCAGTGAGCATGGAGCACCTTGGGGCCACAGGGACTGCACACCCAACAAGCCTGTTCTTGGGAATTAGGGAAGTTTCCAGCTAGGTCTGGTCCCACTGGATCAGCAGGGTCATAGCTGCAAGGATTTGCTTGCATCCCCTTGGTGGTAGGAGATGAGAAGCAAGTCCAGCTCAGCACCAAGGTGCCTCACCAGGGCATGAATCTAGCCCAAAATTTGCAGTATAAGTGACACAAATGACGCAGCGAACATCGCTGCCCAGAAATGGCAGAGGGCAGCAGGACACCCTGGGCTTACCTGGGACACGGACACGACGGCTTGTCCAGGGTACTGCGAGGTGGCACTGGGCTCTGACTTTAAAGTGACCGTGCTGTCTGAGTTGGTAATGGAAGAAGGGGAGTTGGTGGCCGAAGTCGTAGATCCTGGAAGATAATTGTGACCGGATGATGAAGCGACATAGGGAAGGAAAAAAAGTGGTTTTGAGCAAAGCTGTATTTTAATGGGGCCATCACATCTCAGGGTGACATTAGGCTGTTCCCTCCCACAGTGTGAGAGTCTGTATCTGGCTGCTGAAGTATTGCTGGAGCAGGAGGAAGAGGAAGAAGAGGAGGAGGAGAAGCCTTTCACAGCCTGGCACAACTTATCTTTGCACCAGCTGGAGGAGCAAATGCTGAGAGCATCATGCTGAGTCCCTCTCAATCCTTAAATACATTCCCAGCCCTGGAATTTGCATTTATCCCATTGATCCCAACCCTGCAGATCCATACAAGCAAGAGCTTGGCTGGGCTTTCCCACCCAGCAGCTTTTCGCATCCAGCAGCTTTTCCCACCCCGACTTTCCGCCCGCTCCAGGGACAATAATAAAAGCACTTCACCTGTGGAGCTTTTGCCTTTGCTGATGTTCTTAGGCTTCCGTTTCCTGGTCTGGATACTTTCCTTTTTCATGGCCAGAGGCCGCGGCACCTTGGCACCCAAACGTTTGGCATCATTAGCATCGCCTTTCCCCGGGATCCTTCCCGCACGCGGGCCGCTTCCCCGTTCGCACGCTGCACCTAAAGTCCTTGTCCTTCGCTACGGGCTATTTTTCTCCACAGCAGGCCTTGGCTGGAAGATGTATAAGGCTAACGGCTCAGGCTTTCCCACCAATTCTGTTTTTTCCTCTATTTCCTATTTTCCTTTTCCTGATTTATTAGTGACCTTTATGACAGGGCCCTATTAAATTATGGTGACAGCTGGGGCCTACGTGGCTCACAGGGAATGGGATGGGATAACAAGACTTTAGCCTTTACGGCAGGGGTCTAAAGGGACCCATAAGGAAGGAAGGATTCTCCTCTGGCTCATGGACATGATCCGAGTCATTCCCATCCTACGGGGACACAGGTTATCAGCCAACCTCTGGGTCCCGGAGATGGGGCTGAGCCCGTCCCAGCTATCCCGAGCCCAGATGCTCTCAGAGCGGGTCGGCGGCGCCGCTTACCCCGTGCAGCTTCATGTAGAGGCCGCAGGCGTTGCAGACGGGCTCGCCCTCGGCGTTCCTGCGCCACAGCGTCGTGGTGGTCGTGTGGCAGTTGGCACAGGACAAGCCGAGCCCCCGCGGCGCGGGCTCGGGGGGACGACGACTGCAAGAGAAGCAAACAAGCCACCGATGCGCGCGGGAAGCTTCCTTCCCAACAGGAATAAGATCTCCGATTGCAGCGATTTCCTGGAAAATGCGAATCACGCAAGGTAGCCAAATTCCAATCAAAGGAATAGCATGCAAGCGAGATCACTCCAATTTGCAACCACTTTTATTTGTTTGTTTTATTGGGCTTAATAAACCTGGCAAATATCCTCCCAACCCATTTCACAAACTTTCGGCAAATCTGCTCCAAACAGTCATAACTCATAATGCAGAGAGAGAATAATCATAACTCATAACACGGAGGAGGTCTCTTCTCCTAGAGACCCAGTGAGATGGAGAAAGTTCATGAAAATACCAGCCAGGCTTCAAGCGCACACACGTTATGACCACTACAAAAAACTGTGGTTGCTTTAAGAGAACTGTTCTGCTTTTCTGCACTCAGAACTGCCATTGGAGTTAATAACATCTCAATTAATCTCTGCTTTAAGACAACTGGAATCAATTGGCTGAAGTGAGCAGAACCAAACCGAGCTGAGCTGGCCCAGTCCGATGTGACAAGAGGGGTTATTAATCGCCTGTCTCACACATAATCCATTCTCCTCCAGGCTGCTGAAACACCTTGTAAACATTAATTAATTACATATTTTGTGGGTGCAGTGATCACCGCCTCTGACACGCTAATGGATGCTTTAATGAAACATTTATATTTTCCTTCTCCAAAAAGAGATGGGAAATCCTGGCAGGAGCAGCAGGCTTGGCTTGGCTGCTCTCTCTGCGTGCTGGGAAGCGCAGGAGTCCCAATATGCAGAAGTGCACATTAAATATGCATTCCACTTGAATGTCCCTTAGCATGAGGCATCCAAACTATTCCGATAAGAGACGAAATAGGCATGAAGATGGTGGTGACATGAGTAATACCACAGAATCTCCACCTTCAGTTGCCTGAATACGTTCCCCCGCCCTGAGAAAAGTCACTTTGGTTCCCCTCAAAGACGGACAATAGGTGACGCAGGCAGCGGGGATGGCCTGGCCTTGTTCGGTTGGGGTTTTTTTCCATTATTGCTCGATATCATGACAAAACATCATGATGAATGAGGTGGGTTGAGTGGGAATAAAAAAGCAAAATGTTTTTACAAGGTTAGTAGTCAAATAAGGATCAGCATTGGGTTTCAAAAGGCAGAGGTGACATGTCCAAGCTTTGAGTCACTGGTTGCTAAGCAAAGCGCTTGCAGCAACAGTGTGCAAACGACTGCATCGCTTGAGAAATTATTTATCTTTCAAGAAATAACCGGACAAAAATAATACACCGAGGTGCAAGCTGACAAGCATGGTACAAAGGAGAACACAGTCTCCTCAGCGCCCTGATAGGGAACGTGGTGGCACAGTGAGATCCCGAGCTCAGCACCTCCCTATGCTCCCCCGGGAAGGAGCCTTGTGGCTGCAGCCCTCAAATCAGCTCCAGGGCAGCTCCCAACTCACATAGGGGGAATTTGGGAGCACTCAGCCCTGGGCTGGCTGTGCCCAGCCCTGTTGTCACCGCTTGGGAATGGCGAAAGCAGAGCCCTTGGGAAAGCCCCAAGGTCTCCGCTCGCCCGCGGGCAGCGGGGCAGGGAAGGGCACCCTGTCCCTATCCCACCTCGGAGGAGCTGCTGCCGCTGCAACTTGCCCACGCAGCCAGGAAGGGACACTCAAGGCTGCTCGCGCTCGCTGAAGGACGAGGGCACAATGTGTCATTGCTGCTTTCCCAGCAGATCCCCTAAAATTCAACGCATTGCTGCCAGCCTCCGCCCGGCCTTTGTAGCGCTGACCTTGTCTAGGAAGTTGTTGACTTCAGCGTTGTGCTCCGGGGTTTATTTATACAAACGCGGTGCACACGCACACAAAAGTGACCACACTCGAGGGCCAGCTGCTGCCAAGCACGAGGAGTCGGGGCTGGGGTGTATTGAGCCAAATGAGTGTTAGCGCCTAAGAAATTCAGCACACAAACGTGTACTAGGAGAGCCCAAGAAATTCAGATCTCCTGCAAGGAGCCCAAAACCAGCAGAGACTTTGCTTCACCACCTTCTTGAAAGTCGAAGCAAAACCTCGGGGTTTTCATAGAAAAAAAAAAGGTAAAAAAGCACCTGGGTTCCTAAAAGATCTAATAGATGCTTCTGTGCTAGGCGAGTAGCTGGGTTTGATAGAGAAGATGCTGCAGCAAAGCATATTGAGAGACATGAGGTCAGGGAGCTGCTGTGGCTTGTTGCCTCACCTCCCAAGGCAGCTCCAAGGGGAAGCTTGGAGCAAAACACTCCTGCAGCACCCGGGATTCATCTCACACATCCCAGAGGCCTGGAGAACTGCAGGAACTGACAGCAATGGGAAAACTAAGCCACGCGCCACAGACCCTGTACCCAGCACATGTATCTTCTGTCATTTTGCACCAGGTGATCCTCAGTCCTGTGCCCACTCCCTCCAAAAGTGAAACCACTTTTTTTTTTGAAAAAAAAAGACAGACTAAAAAAACCCCATTAAGTCCAGACTGTAAAAATTGCCTCCGATTAGTCCTTGTACACCTTGTACACCACTCCGCATAGAGGTTGCTGAGCACACACTGACTGTTGCATCCATCCCTCATCATGAAATGCAGCTCTGAGCCCCAAACGCTACTGCAACAACAGAGTTTCATGCCCACAACGGAGCCATCCAGCTCCAGCGGCTGCTCCTGGATGCTAAAAGAGATCCAGCTTTTAGGACTGGATCTCAGGTATCACCTGGTGAGATGCACCGAGGGACTTTGGATAGAGAACACTTTGCCTAAAGCAACATGCTGCTCCCATCCCTCTCGTCCATGTTGTCCCTGCAGAGTCACCAGGTCCACGTGCCCATGCAGGAAGCGCAGCACCCTTTCTCTTAGTGGGACTTTGCTTTGGAAAAACAGAAGTCAGAATAACCCGCAAAGCAGTATCCAGTTACAGAGCAAAGGTCGGCAGGTAGAGCACAAAAGCAACCGTTTTTCCCTCGCTGGGTCTGTATTTCACAGCCTTGTTGCAGTGACCGCTGGGCTCCTAGAGCAGCGATGTTTCACCATGCTCTCCACCCCATTCCCACCCAAACGGCGCAGCGGGGTTACGTGGCATCAGAGACATCCCACACAAGGCTGGGCATTAGGAAAACAGGCATCCGAAACCAGAGGGACAGAGGGAGCCATCAAACCCCTTGGGAAAACACAAGGTTTTGAAACATTTTGTCCCAGAAGCAGGATGGAAATTCAGACGTGCAACCCCTTTTCTATAAAACAGAATCTCTTTGGGTATTTCCTCCCAAAAGAAGCATTTCCCTGTGATAAGAACCGGCTCCTTCATTTGGGCCACAGCATTATTGGACTTCGATAAGAGCCAAAAAAGAAAAAAGGATTGGAAGTGCTTTGATAATTCCCAAACAAATTTGCTCATCCCCAGGAAACATCCCAACCCTCTGCATGAGTGTTCGCCAGCAGAAAATGATTTGCTGAGAAACGCCCAGCGGATGCCACCCAGACAAGCCCTGAGGGTCGAGGTCCCCACGCCGCAGGGACCGTCACTGCTCCTGCTGTCGGCCTCGCTGCCACCGGAGCAGGCGAAATAAAGTGTTTAACAACAGTACGACCAATCTTCCTTGATGTCTTTGTGGAAAAGCTGTCAAAAAAGCCCTGAGAATCTATCCAGCAGCATATTTTGACACCGGCCATACGCCAAAATACAGACTTGTATTTAAACTGTTTTGCAGATTGTACTGGCTGCAAAGAAACCAGCAGCATAACCCTGAGATTTGCAGCTCTGCAGAGAGCAGGATCTGATGCTGGGATGCAGATTTAATTGCATTAAAGGAGATCAGAGATGTTCTCAGAGAGCAGACAAATCCTATCAGATCATGCAAAATGTTTCACAGAAATGAGTCCGTTTTATGCTCATTAGAAAGCAGATCCCAGCTGTGCTTTGCCACAGAGCCACTCGCCGCTCATTGCATTTGGTAAATACAGAGTTACATTTACAGTAGCAGGAGCAGAATGATGCATTTTGCTCAATCTCAATTTATTTTTATGGTGCTATTAACCAGAAATTCGACACCCTCGTATTATTGCTAATAATTGGTTTTGCAGCAGAAAAACAACTGCCCGAATGCGCCCGGAGGAGCTCCCAGCCCCGCGACAAACATCCTGTCTGCAGTGACCGCTGCTGCTGCTGGCTCTGAAAGCAAAACTGTTACCACCAAATTTAAACATCCCAAAGTGACTGTACAAATAAAGTACATGCCTTTCCTCTCTCACCATGAGATTCCAGTTTGAGGAAGCCCCGGGCTATGTTGCGGGAGAATTAATGCATTAATGCAATTAATGCATTAGGCTACAGAATCCTGAGCTGGCCCGCACTGGCAGATGCAGCAGGGGTTTCCTGGCATCATCATGGGCCTCATCCTGCTCCCCCAAACCCACCTCAGCCAGATCTGGGTCCCTGTCTCCTATCCAGCTACTCTGCCTAGAAGACAAGTATCTGCATGAACAGGTAGGAAATAGAAACAATAGAAAGAATAGAAAGAAAAAGAAAGAAAGAAAGAAAGAATGAAAGAAAAAACGGCTGGTCTGCTGCAGGAACGGAGCTGGGAGAAGCCCACAGAGACCCACTTGTCCCCAGCCCATAGGAAAGGCCACCAGACCCCTTGTCTCGGCCAGGTCCTGTTCTCTCCGCGCAGCCCCGAGACTCCTCTGGTCCCTTTCCACCCATACCCGGGCTGCAGATCAGCTGCGTTAGGCACAATCCTCTGCTTGGCTTCGCTCTGCTCCTCCCAGCTCCCACTCAAGCTGGTGAGGACCAGCGACAAGAGGCTCCTGCTGGGTTTGGTGGCATTTTATATACAGCAGAACCGATTTTGCCTCTGTCTCCCACATTGGGCAGATCGCACTGAGCCGAACGGACCTCACCACGGACACACAGAGCCTGGCACCATGAGCATCCCCCTGGGTCAGGATTGCCACACGGATCTTGCCCTTAGCCATCCCCGCGGTCCCAACCTGGGATGAGAGGGGATTCCTTGGGAGGGCAGGGTGGGATGTCCCTCTTCTTACCAGCCTCTTCTGTGGCTTGAGCGGCCGGTTGATGCCGTTCATTTTGTGGTAGAGCCCGCAGGCGTTGCACAGGTAGTGGCCGGTGCCATCCTTCCTCCAGAGCGGTGTGGACATGGCCCCGCAGTTGACGCACTCCCTGCCGTCCCCAGGGAACTCCTCCAGGTACTCTGCGGGACAGAGGAAAAATACTGCTTGGTCAGGAGCCGGCTCCAGCGCACGGGACCACCGGGACGCGCATCCTGCCCGCCCAACAACCCCGGGCAGGGGGGTCTGCTGCCACACTGTAAAGCGCATCCTGGGCTGGGGGATTAAACTATTCACCCCCATCCTGCCCACCCTCCAAAATATATATATATTTTTTGCAAAAAGGCAGAAAGATGCCCCCGCCCAAAGACCGTGGAGGGCGAGCGCAGGGGGAGGGCGCATGGGGGCTCCGGCCAAGCGCGGTGCCCTCTCTGCCCCGGCTGG